TGTTGGCCGATGGCATCGACACCGTAAGCACTGTCACCATAAATGATGAATTGATCGGTCGGACAGACAATCAGTTCATAAGATATAAGTTTGATGTGAAGAAAGTGCTCAAATTGGGTCCAAACGTCATACGAGTGGCCATACAGTCAGCGCCGTTATATTCAATGGAAAGAGCAAAACAATACGAGACTCAATACAAGTATAAAGTGTTTGGTATGTTATCATGATGATTTATAGCAATATATTATAATATATGAGTACTCATTAAGTACTCATTAGTTAACAGAAGTATAGTCAAACTTTAAGAGTGTTTAAAAACTTGTTTAATTAAAATATCTCAATAGTTACTGTTATTTATGAGATTTAATATGAAAGTGAAAAGCAGACGATTGTCTCATACTTTTGCCACAATCGTTGAAATCACACACAAATGGTTTTTCACATGAATGCATGCGTTTGTGTTAATTTAGGTTTCATCACATATATAATAATTATAATTTGCTTGATAAATTACCTATTTATAATAGTCTGCAATAAAGGCGCTGACAATGAATGCTATTTTGATTTTATCCGAAAAATGGCCGCTTCTTACAGTTGGGATTGGGTTCGTACGACATGTCAATCCCCTTCCCTTTCCATCCCACATATTATTTCAAACTTTGAAATTCAAAGTCTCTTTAACAACAGGGGCCAGCATTTCCCACACAAGGCATATGGAAACCCATTGGCATCGAGGCGTACGATAAGGCAGTCCTCCGGGACGTAATGGTAGACACAAAACCCAACCCTAAAAATAGCTCTCAATGGGTGCTGACAGTCAGTACATACGTGGAGTCGGCATCACTGAAACAAATCGACACAATACTCGACATCTCATTGGACGACAAAATCTTAGTTTCAAAACAGAAACACAGTTTGAAAACCGATTCACTCGGATCCGTGAAACTAGATATGGTGATCCCTATCCCACAGCACATTCCTATCTCTGCCTGGTATCCAAACGGTGTGGCCAACCGTACCCAACAGTTATACAAACTGCGGGTCGACCTGTCGTTCCCCGACAGCACCGAACAGTCCACTCAAACCAAACGAATCGGTTTCCGAACCATACGACTGGTACAGAATCCTACGGCCGGCGATGG